ATATGCAGACCTGGATGAAGAACCCTGGCCCCTGGATTTCCATGGGAGTGTTATATTGCGCTAAATCTTTTTAGTGCTAAGGAGTGCTAATGAGGGTTTCCAGAAAGAGGACTGAGTGATGAGGTATTAGGCACTTGAGAAAGACTTCTAACTAAGAAAAAGAGCTGCTATCAATACCTCTTACAGAATATTTGAACCTGTATAGCAATTTATTGCTTTGCCAAAAACCTTACAAAGGTAAGCTATTGCAAGAAATACTTTTCACTCTGAAGTACTGGCTCAGTGTGGTATCTATATTAAAAAACATTCTCCGTTTCACTCCTGCATTTCGCACACTAATCCAGCCCAGCCTAAGTGTCCACACCGAAGGAAATGAATTGCATCAGGCAATGTCATTTGCTAAAAGGTAAGAGTGGAGGTATTCTCCTTTCCTTTCGTTTTATATTTCTGGGGTCAATTTCACAACCCAGGCCAGTGCTGAATGGGGAAATTGGAAAACTGCAGAATCGATTTGCAGACGTGAAGTTCTATTTTCTTTTACACTTCTTTCATCACAGTCTCTATCATTCTCATGTTGTGTAGTATTATTATCGACAGCAGCCTGGACACCACTGATAATTGCTAAACTAGGGAAAAGCTATTCCTTGCAAGCGAAAGCAAAACCACAGAAGAGGCAGTCACGGAGCAGTACTAGTCTTGCTTTTAAATTCTTCTTATTTAGACTGTTGGTAATGTACCTATGGTATGTTATTTCTGAGAGTTAAAGGGAAATGTGTCTTTAAGATCTTATTTAAATGAATTTTCATTCACTTGCTTTATTGATTTTTACAAAACAAACTTCTCAGCCAACTATTCAGCTGCAAAGCTGAATCTATTAAAATAATCTATTTTAATAAAAACAGAAAAATCCACAGGCCTTCTGAATGCTTCTAGTATTTGGTAATTCTTCTTTCATTAAATGCATTTCACAAAGGAAAAAAAAAACCCACAGCAAATTTCTGGTAATGACTTAGTTATCAAGAATGAAACCAGTGGCTCGTCACTGCAGATAACCAAAAAAGCTGGCAACTATCAGCCACTCGATCTCTGGGACAGAGAGAGAAATGTACTTTGTAATATTAAAGGTCATTGGCAGCAAAATGGTTGCTAGAGGCATTTAGCTGCCTCTGTAGGTAGCACTGGCATTGCTAATCTGGCTGGCAGCAGCGTGCCGGGCGTTTGGGGGGGGGCGTACAAATACAGAACAAAATGACCACTCCTGGCATGCTGAGCTTGCAGCCTGAGTAGCTGGTTATATGTTTTGAGGAAAGAGCAGTTCGGCCCAAGCAAGTCCTGGATCTATCAGCCAAACGCCTCTGTGCCCTGACCGCGCCCTCGCTGTGTCAGAAGGCCTGCAAGTATTTTCTCTGTTTCGCTTCTCTCTGCTGGTTTTCGAGCGTGGGCCGTGGTGGCCGCTGTCCCCAGCCCACCCGGTGGGCGCCGCTGGGGCGACACCTCCGCCCTTGCTGGGCCTGGGAGCTTGTGCTGCAGGAGGCACTGCAAGGCCTGTAAAACTGATGAGGTAGGAATGAGAGGGGGGGGATTTATGTCCATGGAGGGGCCATTTCTGCTGGGTGCCCCCGGAGAGGGGAACACTCTGAGGGCAGCGGTGGCCAACAGCAGGGGTATGGAAA